GGAGGGGAAGCTGCTATACTTGGTTGAGTACAGCATCTAGACCAATAGAAATAGATTCTCAAGTCATCTTAGCCCCAAGGACTCTGCAAACTTTTAAAATCCAACTTACCTTTTTCCAAAACAGTTTGCCCAGAGGCAGAGAGGTGGGTCCTGACTTCTCCTTGCCGCCTTCCTTGGCGGTTTCAGGCCCAGTCAAGGGCTGCACAGCACCTGAAGGGCTGCAGCCTTTGGGGCTCCTGGCTGTCCCTGGGGTCTCCTGGGGTGTGAAGTTGGCTTTGTCTGACTTGAGGTTGGCCGAAGTGGTGGGTGACTTCTCAGCATCCTGAAGAGTTTTAACATAGGGGGTGGGGATTCAGAATGATTGGATTATTTCAAGAGTGAAAGATCTCTTCTTTGTACCCCTGGGCTCGGGTGGTACATAATGGTAATATTTCTTTATGATTTTCTGTATTTTCCAAATTTCAACTGTGAATATGAATCTGTGTTAAAAATCTCAAAGAAATTTGGGATATATATATTTTTTCTTTTGGAAAACAACCAGAGGATCATTCATGATGCTTCTGTGAGTGGCTCTGGGGGGGTGGGAAGGGACACTTTGCTGCTAGGATGTGGCGCTAGCTCCAAGTGCTTTTGATTATCTTCTCCTCGGGACACACTTCACGCACCCCAGCGCATGCACATTTTTTGAGAAATATTCTATCATCATGTGTGGGTTTACTAGTCCAAATGGAAAATTAAGGAAAGGTGATGATAAATATAGTTCCTGTAGAACCTCTGAAATTCCTTCCCCACGTTCCACTCTGGAGATCACGATCCAGCTCTGAGGCATAAGGCAGCTGGACTGAGCTTGGTGAAGGGGTTTTGAACTGCATGTGTCCACGAAGGAATTCTTTGCTTTTAGGTTCAGCCCCATGCTCCACAGTGGAAACATCCTCAATGTCACTTCTTTTGTCCCAACTCCCTCTCTCCCTCCTACCCTCTTTCCCTTCCCCTCATCTCTCTCCCTTTCCCTCCTCCCTCCCTCTCCTCCCTTTCTCTCCCCTTTCCTCCTCCCTCTTCCCTCTTCCTCTCTCTTCCCTCCCCTTACTCTCTCCTCCTCCTCCTTCCTCCCACTCTCTCCTCTCTTCTTGCTCATCTTCCTCGCACCCTCCCTATCTCTCTCTTTCTCCCCACGTGACTGTGCTAAAGTCTGGTCCCAAGACATCTGATATCTGCAGGGAGGTGCTATTAATTCCTATGCTCTGTCTCCTGTTGAGTCACTGGATAAAGAATAATGGTCACATTTTTTTTTTTCTGGACATGAGTGAATACTGGCATTAAAAACTCTAATACCAGGTTGCTCTGACCTGACTTCTCCACCCTAAGCAGCTTCACTTTATGATTTTTGGATCTGGGGCAATTTGTGATTCAACCCTCTTAAATTCCCAGGGCTGTCGTATCTTCAACTACATTTTCTGACTAAAAGAAAAAATAATCTGGCGTTGAAAATGGGGTGTGGCCAAATAAGGAAGTTTCATATTATTTTTGGTACTGGACAGAGTCTTAAAGTCCATCTGGCCCAGTATTTAAATTTTCAGATAAAGAAAGCAAAGCCCGAGATGCACTGGACCAGGTGTGTAGCCTGGCCTCATGTCTGGACTGCTGACCTCGTCCCTGCGCTCACACACAGCACGTGGGCTCCCTGAGGGTGTGTCCAGTAACACGAATTCACTCTCTGGTGCAGGATGTGACATCTCGCCCAGGTTCTGAGTTGTTTACTGAGCAAACTCTAAGATCAAATCAAGACAAAGGAGTGGAGCATAGAAATGGTACTGGGATAACCCAGTTCCATTCAAGATACGCAAAGTGCGTAATGCTAGAATTTAAAATAACTTCTGCATTTTACAGAGAGTGAACTCGTGATTACGATTCAGCATTAAGAATGCTTCAAATGTGCTTGGGCCCCTGGTACTATTTTAGCCCTAAATGGCCATTAAATTCGAGGGGAAGCACCCACCCCATCTCCTAAGCAGCTTGTTTTCTTTTTTTTTCAGAAAAATATTAGGAAATATCATCTATTCATTGACAAACACATTCCGTAGCTTTCCACGAGCCATGGCGTAGGCGGAGTACCAGGGCTACGCGTCCTCTTGGAGAGAAGGACAGGGAATAAATAATTCCACAGGTATAAAATTTCAAGTGGGAAAAGTGCTGGAGGAGTAGGAGGATCGGTGCCACCAAAAGACAAAAGAAAGCACTTCCAAACACTTAAAGCAAGAATTGCAGCCACATGTGACAACCAGGAGGGCTTTACTTAGGAAGGGAGGTAGCTGGAAATCACAGGGAGGAGCTGCCCTAGCCCCTCTGTCAAGGGGACCCCTTTTCTTGGGGGTGATCATCAAGATTGGACATTAACTTGGTCTGTGGCCATGCAAAGGGTCCCAGAAATAAGCGGATTCACAGTGAGCCTGGGGTATTAAATTCCACTGGGAGAAGTGTGGTGAGGAGAGCTTGTCCAGAAGCCTTCCCACAGGAGCTGATGACGGGAGGGTGGCTTCCCTGGGAGGTGCCCCTCTCCTCCTGCTGGGTGCACCCAGAGACCATGGGCATGATAGTAAAATGATAATTCTTTCATTTTTTTTCTTTTTTGGTACCTAGGATTGAATCCAGGCGCTCTTAACCACTGAGCCACATCCCCAGCCCTTTTTAATTTTGAGACAGTGTTTCGCTAAATTGTCAGGGCCTCGCTAAAGTGCTGAGGTTGGCTTTGAACTTGTGATCCTCCTGCTTCAGCCTCCCAAGCCACTGTGGTTACAGGTGTGCACTACTGTATCCGGTTGTAACATAACGCCCCTAATGCGCTCGTGTAACTAACTGTTGGTTGACTCTGTATCTCCCCTGCTAGACCCCTTGAGGGAGAGAAGTTCTTGATCTCTATGACACCCTAGCTCCACCTGGGACCAAATCCTGGCACAAAACTGATGTTCACTCACTGACTAACTAAATGAAAGAGGCCAGAGAGAGCTACTCACAGGATGCTGCGGTATCCGGCTTCCTGACTCTAAAGTCCATTCATCTTTTCATCCCTGCCCACTCCTTTCCTTATGTCCCAAAGAAGTTCCTCAAACGGTGTCCATCCAAGTGTTCATTTAGCCAAATTAATAGTCTGTGTTTGCATTATGGGAGAGGCTACAAAAACTCTAACCATGATTTCAGAGGCAATCTCATGAATGGGGTTACCAGGTTTAAAATGAAAATGAAAATATAGAATGCCCCATTAACTTTGAATTTCAGATCAGCAAAGAAAAAATTTCTAGCTTCAATATGTTCCCAATATCTTGCTGGATAAATTTGTATAAAATGATTTATTTTTTTTAAATATGAAATTTGAATTTAATGGGACACTGCATTTTATCTGGTGACTGTACCCAGGAAACTCTAATGGATCAGGTAGGAATATTACACATAAGTGGCCTTACCTTCTGAGCAGGTTTTCATGTCATTAACACATGGAGTATGCGAGAGAGGAGGTGTTAGGAAAACGGAGACTTTACAAAAACCAATGAGTGAGTGGCAGAGCATCACCTGAGCCTGCTGCCTCATTGAGGTGTCCCCGAGAAAGCCCAGGAGAGGGCCAGCGTTTCAGGCAGCACAAGAACATTTTAAAGCACACCTGCCTCGCATGCTTGGAGGACACCAGACGAAGTGTCACTCTGAGGCTTCCCGTGCAACAAAGGCAAAAACAAAGACTCCGACTCAGCAAAGGAAAGCTGGTGCTTCGCTTTATTTTGGTTTAAAAGGAAAACCTTTGGTTTATGAATTCCAGCTTCCCCATTTTTTTAACCTAGAAAATTCTTTTTTTTTTTAGGAAGGAAAATTGCACTGGAGAAATGAACACAGAAGTCAACCAGATTTCTCACAGCAAAACTAGAAGGTAGCGCTTTCTCCTCTGATGCCTGGATTCCCCTTTTCTGCCTGAGGTCACCCCAGGGTACCGCTCCTCTGCTAATTATGCAATGGGAGTCATGGATAGGACCCGGCTGGTCATTTAAATAACACCGTTTTCTGTATACAACTGAATAATCAAAAGATGTAAAGAAATAATCTGTCCTAGACAGAGGTAATAGCTGAACTGCTGCATAAATGAGATCTCAGAACATTTGGGAATAGTTCCCTTACTTTATTTCACATTTACATAAAGAACACACTGGATGTAGCTCCAGGAGAGACCTTGAAGTCTGCATGTCTGTATTATGGGATCCATATAAAGGATGTCCTCTACATTTCCCCAGGGTCCTGAATCCTGTTTTTCTCCCCATTGTACCTCGGGGGCAGGATGCAAGGCCAGCGACTCCAGGGAACCCTATAAATAACAGCATTGAACTTGGACAGTCCACATATGGATAGACAGAGATCTGCACAGAGTGAAGGCAAACGCAGTGCAGATCTGGCGAGGGAGACACACACTTCCTAAGCTTTCTACGAGAGTGCCACATTGGAGCTAAACCAGGTTCCGTGGCATGAAGCCCATGATATGTTTCACTGGCCATTACTAAGCTCTCACTTGCCCGAGTGGCCCCACCACCCTAATGTTCCCTCCCTCATTGCAATATCTATTGCTCCCTCTCTTTCTTTCTTTACTGAACAAAATAAGCCTGTCTGGAGACTGAAGGGTGGTTTCATAATGTGTTGGTTATGCAAATATAGATTCAGCTACAAGAACTTTCTGTGGGGCTTTTATTTTCATACACAATCAACCCTGGGACTATCATATCCAGCTGGGGAAGTTTTTTAATAAGTTCATTCAACTTGATGGAGAATGGTTGATATTTTAAAGAAATTTCCAAGCTTGAGGACCCAATTCAGAGATCTTTTTAATTGATGGTTTCAGGCACACACTGGCATATTCTTAGACATTAGAAGAGCAACATCTCCAAAACTGGCTTCATATTATCCTGATTCCACCCCCACCCCCACCACACACATGGAGAAATAACTCGCTCTGCCTTCATTCATTGCTTTTGTTTTTTTCTTGCTTGGGCTTTTATGTGAATTCAGTATAAACTTTGTTAATACTGGAAATGGATGGAACAGACACACAAAGGTGAAATTGTTATCTTCAGGTTAGAAGAGTGTTTCCCAAAATGCAGGTGGCCTACCACTGCAGGGCCAGAGGTGACATTAAGTTGCATGGAAAGACGATATTCAATAGCATTCAAACCGTGAAAATACTTTTCAAACTTTCATATCATCTAATAACAGTCCAGGGAAAGACAGGCTCAGCCTGGTACTGGTGTGTCCTTAATATTCTACACCACTGGCCAGTGGCTTTCTAGTAAAGCTAGTGAGGGCACTGTGCTAGAGCTTCATGCAAACGAGGTAGCATGAAGTCAGGATCCTTTAATGAACCTTATTAAAGGTTACCCTCCTCTTAGGAGAAGATTCTGGTTCTCATGTATAATGGAAGTCAAAGTTTCTTTTTAAGATACATTTCATTGGACATGGTCAATTTCTATATAAAAATATCAAGTGATTAATATGACCTCCAACAAAAGTGGCCAATACAGTTTGCACGTGACTGGCGTTTGGGAAACACTGGGTGAGAGTAACTGCAGAACCCTGGTCCACTCTCAGAAAACCCCCCACCTGCGATGTCGAGAGCTATGGCAACGTGAAACCATTCACTGATGTTGAGTCACGTCATTTCCAATCTCCCTTTAATGATCTCAGCCTCAGGAGGCTCTGTCTACACTAAGGCACAGGTGGCGTGCCTGGCACGGTGAGGACCAGGGTTCTTCTTTCTGCTAGTTTAACGGGATACAGACCTTATGTCTAAGCAATTTCCTAAAGGCGAGGCCCAGCCGGGGGCTCTCCAGGTGCTTCTTCTTGCTGCCCTTCGCCTGGGTCTCAGATGTCTTCTGACCCACTTGCCCATCGCAGACGCTTTCTGCTTTGGAAGCCTTGCGGGCAACAGCAGTTGCAGCTTAGAATTTTGCTTTTAAACAAAATCTAGTTTTCTGTTGTTTTGAGGTGCATGAATACACTGTGACAGTTATCTTCTGGCATGTTACTGCCATCTCCCACCCATAAGACACAAGAACATTATCTTTTTAAGATGCTTTGGTAAAGAGCATATTCACAGACAATTTCAGGCACACATTGCTTTTCAACAGAGTGACCTATTTAAATGGCCCAGATTAACACATCTCCCAAAAAACCCTACAACCAAAACTAAACTCCCCACTCCCCGCCCTGTCCATATTCACTAAAGACAGTAGTAGGGTAATTAGACTGTAAAATATCAAATGAAAAGTAAATAATTAAAAAAGATAACATAGTCTATTTAATAGTGTTAAATATCTAAATGCTGCTGTCACATGGGAAGGACTAAAATAGTCCTGCTGCAGCCACTGGACGTGTTTGACTCCAGCTGCAAGCAGCGTGAGAGTTTCTGTGAGTACTTAGTGTGCCGAGAATCACCCGGAACCAAATGGGACAAGGTCACACACCTTTCAAAGGCACAAATTCAAGAACTAGAGTAGAAAAAGATGTCAGGATCACACCAGTGTCGAGTTGCGAAACTTGAGCTCTAAGAGGTCTTCTGAGGCCAGACCTCGCACACCTTGTCACGGCTTAGGTAAGAGAATAAGGTTTTAGGAAATAGGTCTAATTGTGGGTGTCATGGACAACCCAGATGAAAGGTCCTCATCTAAGACCCAGGTGAGCAGCAGGGACCCCACAGTCTTCCGGGGAAGACCATAAGATCTGATCAGCCAGGCATGTTTGGTTGGGAGCACATCTGGGTCATGGAAGGGTCTTGGTACATGAGCAGCTGAAGAGAAGGAGTGTCCCAGGTCACTTGGGGAGCCACACAACACACCCACATTCCCCACTGTTTATGGCCACTGTTCTGACTATGTCGCTTCAAACAAAGCAAAACACAGAACCAAAAGAGAAACAATTGACCCAATCATTCATGGAACTTGACCCTAGCTGCCTTGTAGGAAATGAGTAATTTTAAGGAAAATGCATATAGATAGATGCCTTGGAAATCTACTTTTCAATGGGATAAGGAGGAACTCAATGAGTATAAATCAAATGTAATCACGCCGTCCAACCTGGCTTGGATGTGACATGGAAGCAGGGGTCACCAACATCTGAAGAGAGCTCTGCCCTATCACACCTTCCCTCAGTTCCGGGGGCTGGGAGAAAGTTTGACTGTACCAGTTTTACAGATGTGGAGACTTGATCCAGACAGGTCAGGATCACACCAGTATCTAGTTGCGAAATCTGAGCTCTAAGAGGTCTTCTGAGGCCAGACCTCGCACGCCTTGTCACGGCTTAGCTCTTCAGGATATAAGCAACAGATGTAGCAGGGGGGCTAAGCCATTTATTTCGTCCCAGTATCTTTCAAAGGACACAAGACAGTTATCTGTTACCAAGTTAACTTTCCCTGGAGGTTCTTCATGAAATTTAAACCATGTGCTCCGCCAGAGGTGACCCGTGCTGTCAAGTGCAATGGGAAAAATACCTCTAAGAAAATAGTGGCTCAAGTCACATTTATTTTGAGGAGAACTGGTTGAATTTCTAGAGAGACAGTGGAAACTCCAGCCTCCCCACTCCTACCTACATGGCTTTCCACTTGACCTATGTCCTGTGGCTACTACATTATTTCAAAAATGGTCTTTGCAGTAGAGATTTATTATTTTTTTTGAAACAAAGAACACATTTTTTTAAAAAACAAAAACCAAAACTCTGCATCTTTCTCCTACTTTAATGGGGCATTTTTAAACTATATTCCCTGGGTCTCTACACATAACAAAAAACACAAAGATGATGGTATAATTTTTAGTATTCGGCTCTTATTCTACATAAGAAATTGGTTATTCCCGCCATTATGTACAACTCTAATGCACCAATAGAAACGTGGGGGAAGAAAGAAATTGGTTATTGTGATATTATTTAACCAAAATTGGAATATGATTTAAGTTACTCACTACATTTTCATTATAATACCATTAACCTAAGTGAAATATTTAAAAGACAATCCAACAGCACTAAGTTGCTAACTATGTATGTCCATATATGTGTCTATACATTTATAAAACATATAAAGGACACGCACTTCATACAGAAAACAAATAAGCAGACTCCCTCTAAATCCAATTCTGTGCACAAACCCATACTTCAAAGGACCTACCGTATCTTCTGGATCTTTTTTAGTTTCAGCTTTGTTAGGTGACACCTTAAAAGTTTGAGAAAATCAAATGTTAGAAATCATAGCTCTTTAGGGTGATTTTTATTTCATAATTACATCACTGTTTAGGTGGTCCAGTTTACTAACACTGGCAAAGCAAGAAATAAGAAGCACTTTTAGTTCAGTAGAAACCCAAGGACCTCTGGGTAATAAAAAGCTCACCAAATTATTATTTAATAATGAAATGCATCAGATTATTCTCATTTACCACAAGTTTGACCACTATCAAAATTGTCTCCTGGAAGGCCCAGTTCCCACCGACTGCACTATTACTCCACAAGCAGGGCAACCCTGTGGTGCTAGGGGCACATTCTGTTGATTTTTTTCTTTCATTTTATCTTTTGAAGCTAGTCTTGATATCTGCAGATAGCCCAAACACTTTTGTGGCTGTTCTTATTTTTGTATGCATCAAGCCATTCTGCTCTTCTTTGAGTGTCTGGCATATGGCAAGCTAGAGGGTTTTGCCCTGGGGTGGTCAGAAATGAGCAAGCAAAGCAAAGACATGGTCCGTGTCCCCATCTAATGAAATCGGGAAAGGTAGATGTCACAAGATGGACAGCAATTTCTACAGCGTTTTACTTGCCATTTGAGTGAGAAAATTACTTTGATAGGCCAACAGCTCAAGGCAGTATATTCCGATATTGTTTATGATCAATGACCATAAGACATTCAATTGCAATAGGATTCTATTACAGTACAGCTCATGTCACGTGGTCTGGGCACCTAGTGTCCATGTCATGGCTCCCAACTCCAAGGGCTCTCTCCCTGGAAGACTGATGAACACATTCCCACAGGAGGCACTTTGTCCCTGTTGTCTCATGTTCCAGCTGGGCCAGGATGGTAATCCATTCAGGACAGCAGCATTCAAAGATGCATTGCTCTTACAAGTAGCACAACTTTTGGGCAATAGAAATGGGGAAAGAAAGGAAACTACTCACCAGAGTTTTGAAGAAACTCATGATGGAATTGTTACTCTCTGTTGTATTTGTTGCCTGGGAGTCGTCCTTTGCAATCTCCAGTCCTTCTGGGTCCCCAGGGACAGAGCAATTCAAAGTTTCAACCTCTTGTCCTTCTGTTTCCTTGCTGTCAACTAGGTCCTAGGAGCAAAACAGAGTTTTCACAGCTGCGACTTGTTGAATGTGGACTCTCAAAGCAATTCCTTTTCTCCCTTGCCCCCAATTCCAGCCATACTTCTTCTGCCCACGGGCCTACAGAACAATCAGGAGCTTATGAGAGTCCCTCTTCCTTCCCTTCCCCCTCTTCCCAACATACTCAGCATTTGCAGTTGCTTGGAGGGACACTGTTTGGTGCCAGAGGGTAATGAACACAGCAGTGTATGGTGCATTCCAACAAAAAACCCTTTACTCCCAGTTCTGCAAAGAGACTGTGTAAGATGCTAATGTTTTCCACCACCTTCCTGGTCACCTTGACTAATGATTTGTACATCAGCCCCAGAGATGGCTCTGTCTGACTTCCCACAACCTTCGCAGTAATGAATCGTATCAACCAAAGGAAAGAAAAAAACAACCAACCCTGGTGTTTCAAAACAACTGTTCTGCTTTGCAAATCTGGGAGTTTATCGGTGCCAGGGATGTGACATGCAGATCAATTTTCTCCTCTGACTTGCTAGGGAGGTAGGATGCATTCTGAACCTGACTTCCTTGGCCCTTTGCACCTCCCCAACCCTGAGCAAGACCCTGTCATCTCTCTGCCTTATGATTGCTAAGGCTCCCAGCCCTGTTTGCTTGGGCTCTGAGTGCCCTCAATCCATTCTACACATCCCAGGCCCCATCTTCCAGTCCTTCCCTGCTCCAGTGGCCTCCCCTGGCTTGGGAGTTGGCCCATACTCTGACACAGCCTCCTGGACATCTTAAGGTATGGCGCACACCAGAGCCCACCCCCCTCACTAGCTGCTGCTTTTCCCTCCCCATTTATTTTGAATGAATTCTCTCGGAGTTTCTCAAACATACTTGTCATGGTTAAGTTGAATTGTCAACTTGATTGGATTAAAAGGTACTGAAGATTAAAAGGCTCTGGGCGTGTCGATGGGGGTGTGTCTAGGAATGATTGGCCTGTGGGATAGCAAACTGAAGTGGAGATCCTCCCTAAGTGTGGGCAGCACTGTCCAATAGGAAGGTGGCTTGGATGGAAAAAAAGTTGGAAGAACAAGGAAGCAGCAGCAGATGCAAGCTCAATTTTTCTTGAACAGGTTCTTGATTGCTCCTGTCATCACTTGAGGGCATCAGACTTGCTCCTTCACTCTTCCAAAGCGGACTCTGCCAGGTCTAGGACTAGGATAGCACTGGGTTGTTTCTTCTTGTCTGAGACTTTAGCCTCTTGGACTGCACCGTTACTGGTTCCTCCCCGTCTCCGGCCTGCAGATGGCCATTGTGGACTCTCCAGCTTCTGGACTGTAGGCCAATCTAATAAATTTTTTTAAATAATCATACTTCCTGTTAATTCTGCTCCTCTGAGAACCCTAACACAATACTGCAAGCAATTTCCAACTTCATGGCTCTTTGTCTGGAACATTCTGTCCCTCTGTGTGCCTGTCAGTAATTCACATTCATCCTTCAAGTCTTAAGTGTCTCCTTTCTGGGAGTCCATTCCTAAAGAGCCGTCTTAAGCTCTCTTTTGCTCACTGTCTTCTGCCTTCTCCACCTTTGCTGTTGGCATCATTGCTTACAAGATCAGCAACACCCCATCCACCATACCATGCCAGAAGGGAGGTGCATCAGAGACAGGGATGTCTCAGGTATTGAAGGCAGCAGGGCACAGAGAAGTCATTTTATTAATATGTACTATTTGACTTCTGAATAAACAAATGGAAGAAATGGAAATTTTGCATAAATGAGAGGGGCTTTCAGTATCAACTTGCTTGTGTAATAACAGAGCAGAGGCTATTGCATCCTTTCTTTCTTTCTTCTTCTTCTTCTTCTTTTTTTTTTTTTTGTGGTGCTGGGGATTGAACCCATGGCCTTGTGCATGTGAGGCAAGCACTCTACTAACTGAGCTATAGCCCCAGCCCCCATCGCCTCCTTCCTGTGCGCCTCCAGTGGTTTTCATTCCCCGGTTTGGTTGGCCTTATTGCTGGGCATTTTCAGGATTCACAGTTTCACATCTGGGGTATCAGAGGCTGTACTATTGGCATCTTTCACTTTTAGTTTTAATCCCTCCTGTGTATCTTTTCTTTGAACAAATGGCCCAAAGTGAAATTTCTGCATCCAGAGGCATGCAAATTTTATAACTTGATAAATACTCTTGCAAAAAATATCATAGGATTTCACTAGGAAGATTTCCTACTGGTATGTGTCTGCATCTGATTATCTGTCTGGTGCACTAGTAGGGGTGGCAGTGATACCTCAGACATGTCCAGGGCAGGTGGGGCCACCCTGGGGGCTGTGGTCATGCAGTGAAGCTTGGTCAGCAGGTGGGTAGAGTGAGGGAGGCCAACTCCACTCTCGCCTGGCCTGAGCATCCTCTCCCTTCCACCCCTGTGCAGTCCTGTCCTTCATCCCAAGGCCTTGAGCTTCTGGCTTCCCCAAGCCATGCCCTGCCGCCATTGCTGTTGGTTCTCTAATTTCCAGGAGAATGGAAGGGAAGCCCTTTGTTTCTACGTGGGGACTTCTAACAGTGCTCAGCGTATAAGGTGAAAAGCCCATGGAAGACCTGGCATCTCTGTCTATGTTGACTACTTCCTCCAACGGTGGAGAGCGGAGTGGGGCAGCTCTGCCCAGTATCCCAGTGTTATACTTCCTGGGAGATTCTGGAAACTCCATGTAAGCTGATATGGTTGACTATCCAACCAGCAAAAACAATTAAATTCAAAGCAATTTCAAATTATGAAGCACGGCATGTGTCCTCTAGTTTCTGAGCTAGTATGATTCAAATATGATTATCTAATCTTAATATATTATTATATATTATAGAATAATATGCATGGTCAAATGTTTTGCATTCACAACTCCCACTGTACAAAATGCAAGCCACTGTACAAAAAATGCATTAAACATAAGTTATTTAATTTTTACAACAATTTTCTGAGATAAATGTTATAATTTACAGTTTTTCCAACAATGATGTGAAGCTCAGAGAGGTTCGACAACTTGTCTGAGAGGAGAATGTGGGAATTCTGACTCAGGACTGATGGAACTGGAGGTCTGAAATATTACCATCCATCTTCCCCTGCATGTCAATGTGGCAAAACTTAAGTAGCAAAGCAGACATCTTCAATGTCATGCTGGGAAACTGAGATCCTCATGAAGCGTGTATATAAGTATATACTAAATCCATAAATTCTCAGAAGATCTTTCAAAGCTTAAGTCTTCCAAGAAGTACAGCACTTACAATTGTGCACACCTCATTGCCTGTATTTCTTGAACAGTGCTTCTTTATGAAGCATTGCAGAGCCTTAGTTATCAGGTGCCTTCTGGAATCTGCTACGTCCTTTAATCTCTGCAGAGACTGTGAAGAGCATTTCACAGACGAGGAAACTGGGGCCAAAGAGGAGTAAGAGCATGTCCAAGGCCACACTCCTAGCAGGTTCAATTGGTGGTGACTGTGGTCCTGCCTGTCCAGCACTCCTTACCCCTTGTGACTACAGGACCCTGCTCATCCCTAGGGAGCGGTCCCCATTCATCCCCATCCACACCTTTGCTGACCTGTGTTCTTCCCTGGTCACTCTACTGAGATGGCCTCAGCCTTCTTGTAGCTCTTCAAACACTACAAACAGGCTCCTGCCTCAGTGCCTTTGCATCTGAGTTTCCGTCTGCCCTGCATCTGAACACTCCATCTCACGTCCTTCAAGTCCTTCCCAAATGTCACATTTTTCTTGAGGACTCTCCTCACCTTCTACCTTAAATAGCCACAGCTCCTTCCCAGAATGCCCTGTTGGTGCTCACCGTCTTATTTTTCTTCTCCTGGCAAAGTTCACTTCTAATGGGTCACTGGTTCCCCTCCTCCAGGGGACATGTGGCAGTGTTGGTGATGTTGGTTGTCACAGCTGCATGGTGCAGCGGCTGTACTGTATAAAATATTCACCTGCTTATTTTGGTTTTGGGTTGTTTTTTTTTTTCCCAGAGTAGAAAAACAGACGAAGGTGGGAGTTTTGTTCCTTTTCTCCCCTGTATTTCTCCTGCACCTGGCAGATGCTCAGTAATTAGAAATGAATGAATGATGCTAATGAAACTAGCAACCTTCAGCTTTTACCATTCCATCTTCAGATACCCTGTCTTCTCCTTTCCCCTCTCCTTCAGGGACTCCAAGTGCTCATATTCTCGTCACCGTCCAGCATATTGATGTCTCTTTCTTCTTGGAATTCTTCTCCCCTGTTTGCTTGTGGACAGCGCCCACAGCTGCGTCTCCAACTCCTCTAATCTGCGTTCTCCCCTCTGCTGGGAGTCTCATCTGTGGATTTCCACTCCACACTCTGTAGCTTTCATCTCTAGACATCTGATTTTGTTTTTTAAAATATATCTTCTGTGCCTCTATTCAACGTTTTTAAACACACAGAACCCATTTATCCTTTTCTTCCAGTTCTAACACCTGAGCCAGTTCTTGGTTGGTTTCCGCTGACTTTTTCTCACATCACGAGACATTTTCCTGCTTCCCTGATGGTTTTTGGCAGGTGCCAGACAATGAGCATCTCCCCTGACCAGGCTCTGAATGTTGTTGGTATTTCTATAAACATCTTGGGCTTTGTGCTAGATATGATTAAAATACTCGAAAAGAGAGCTGATTCTTTCAGTCCTTGCATTTCAGATCTGTCAGGCAGGACCAACGCCCCACGGGGTATAGAGAGGGCATTTCCCCAGGTGAGGATGGGTTACCTGGAGGACTCTGACCCAGACCTGGTGAGGAACGCGGCTCCCTGGCCTGGCCCTGCACAAGATGGAGAGAGGACTTCCACTTGGGGCCTTTGCACCTGCGTTAGCTTCCTCATGTGAGCGTCATCCCAGGAACCACCAAGAGCTTGGTCTCAGGGGCTGGGCTCCTCTGGCAGTGAGTAGGGGTGGTCACGGCACACGTCTGGTTCCCCGTTTCCCAGAGATCACTGGCGCCTGGTGCCTGATATCCAGTGTCTTGGGAGCTGTAGTTG